CTTGAAAGCGGAGACTATCAATGCCAATCTTCAAATAATGACCCCAGTCTCATGGTTCTTCGTGGTGGCGTCCTTGAACACCTGTCTGTTTGTCAGCTGCTACAAGGAGAGTCACTTCTACGAGTTCTTTTCAAAATGGTCAACCCTTTTCAAGGTTAGCCGTTTGGTTTTCTCGTCCACTAGCGCACGACTTCCCCAAAATGTACGCTTCTGATTATCTTTTCAAACTGCTTAAACAGTAGGAGATAAGTTGCTGCTGGGAGGACTGTTTTATTTTAGTTTATTTCGGGGAAAAAGAGCAGCCAACCAATCAACTAGCGAAACACTTTTCTATAGGACAATTTAGTCAACAAAACTCCCGTCAATGCTATTGTTCAATCAGTTTTTTAAAAACACTGACAACACCCCCACCCCCACCCCAAACACACACACCAAAATACGCTTTGTACTTTGTGTCATTGAAGTAAATGAATAAAACATCTTTTTTTAATAATAATAATAATAATAATAATAATAATAATAATAATAATAATAATAATAATAACACACACAATAATAACAATACTTGTATTATTGTTATTGTTTTTGTTGTTGTTGTTGTTTGTTTGTTTGTTTGTTTGTTTGTTTTAATTCAGTATTTAATTTCTTTAAAACCCACTTACCCAGGACCCAACGACCCGTGCTCTCGGCATGCGAGGCGCCCTGTCACAACGCTACGTCAAAGTGATCATTGCCGTTCAGTGGGGGGTAGCATTCTTCAACACAGCGGCTGTCATCTTTGTCTGCTTCATGGAGGACGACTTTTCTGCTGGCCTCAACAAGATTTTCTATTTCACCGGACAGCGGACAGTTGCTTCCCTTGCTGTCACCTGCGTTGTGATGTTTTTCTGCTCGTGTGGCTGGGTCGCTGCGCCTTCCTTCATACTTATCATTTGCTTTCTCCTGCTTAGACACTTTCGAGAATTCGACAAAGTCATGAAGCTGCATGTAAGTACCTGGAAGCTGTGTTAACTGCACGTAAGTACTTGTAATCACCATTACCTATATCATGGTCAGTGGATATGTCATAGTTGGGCTCAATGGTATACAGACAAAACTGGATAGATAGATAGATAGATAGATAGATAGATAGATAGATAGATAGATAGATAGATCATCATTTCCCTCCCCCTTTTTGTATATTTGGCACACTCTTGTGACCCACTATTTCCGAGGTGCCTTGATAGTCGAAGCAGACTTTGAGCTGTGGAAGCTAGAAACTAGAAAGGTGAGCAGAGTAACCCTGATTCCCTGTAAGGACTTCTCTGTTGACATCCACCCCTTGGCGCTCATATGACCTTATGCAGTTGCGAGCGCCGTAAAACCTCTACTAAAACAAACAAGATAGATCATCAACCCACCTTGACACACCGTTAAGTGGACAAATACAGTTATAGACCCTTGGTTTTCAGTTGGATATGCACCCCCTCTTAAAGCTGATGAGTGGACATACCGTATTTGTTTTGAACGTTGATGGGATCAAAATCGAAATAGGCTGGTCATGACCTGAGTGCCTCGTTTTGAATGCTTCTGTTGACCGATATTCAGTTAGTGTTATCAAGTTGTAACATTTTACAAATAAGAGTAAGTTGTTATATCATTATGAAGTTATGAGAGCCAAATTAAATGAGCAGCTCATTCGTTTGCCAAATGAAACATTATTGGCAATAGGATCATATCTGTTTCTCCCAACTCACCAGGCGATGTGTGTGTGTGTGTGTGTGTGTGTGTGTGTGTGTGTGTGTGTGTGTGTGTGTGTGTGTGTGTGTGTGTGTGTGTGTGTATGTGAAGGGGCGAAGGCTGACTTGTTTGACAGGGTAATCAAAGTGAAACGGGACCAGATATGGCCTGGAGATATCACACAAGAACCTTACTCGAGGAGGCGACTCAGAGTTGTAAATGAAAATAAATCTGGAATTTATTATTGTATGTTCAACCGCCAAAATAATCGGGAGGGTATCTAATTAAATACCAATTCCAATTAAAATTGAATTTGACTTTAGATGTGAATGTACAAACAGAAAGCAAAGAAGCAGAAATGTCAGTACCAGATCTATATGTTATAGATCTACCAAGGAGTCTAACTCTTAGGTAGAACTTGACAATTATCATTTTTTAAATTTCACATTTGGCTGTTTTTGTGTAGCCTTTCGCGGCCACGAGCCTGTGTCATAATCGAGGTCACGATCTGATTATAGAGCAGTAAAAAGTCGAGGAAAAAAAACAAGCACTCGCAACAGCCAAGAGATTATTAGGAGTAGTTCCCCTCACATGTGTGGGGTAGCTCGACCAGTGTAATAGTTAGCTTATAATAATTATTATTATAATAATAATAATAATAATAATAATAATAATAATAATAATAATAATAATAATAATAATAATAATAATAATAATAATAGATAGCATTTGTATAGCGCATATCCCCGCTCAGCAGCAGGCTCTATGCGCTTTACACTATATTATTACCCCAGCAGACCATAGAACACTCCGAAACATTCTCAGCTGCCCGGGAAGCATACATAATCAGTGCTTACGACTGCTTATAACTGTGGCCCGAAAGGGGTGAACAGGGTATATGAGGCAAAGAAACAGTTTTGACTGCTATGCACATGTTCCCTTAACTCTATTGGTACGCTCTTCCAGTCTCACTTTAAGCTTACTTAATCAAAGCTTGAGACTGCTTATGGAGTGGCCCGAGAGGGGTGAGCAGGCTATTTCTGTGGCAGTGAAACCGTTTTGAATGTTAGGCATACTGTTCATTGTTGATTATTAACGTCTTTTTACATTTAATTGATAAGGTTTACGTTTATGGGTGAATTTCACTGTGACAATGTTCCAAATTTAGGAAGTGAAGCAGTGATTATTTGATTTTATAGACGCCTCGCCCCCCTCTCTCTCTCTCTCTCTCTCTCTCTCTCTCTCTCTCTCTCTCTCTCTCTCTCTCTCTCTCTCTCTCTCTCTCTCTCTCTCTCTCTCTCTCTCTGTGTGTGTGTGTGTGTGTGTGTGTGTGTGTGTGTGTGTGTGTGTGTGTGTGTGTGTGTGTTTGGGAGGGGGGGGGGGTCACAGGGAAAGATAGTAATTTGCTGTTTAAAATTCGTTGATAACAAGAAGTGGGTGGTCAAACCGTCACTCAATCCTCACTGCTGATCTCTCAAGTTTTATCAACTTGTCTTCTTTCTGAACACAACCAGCAGGTGCTATCTATCTATCTATCTATCTATCTATCTATCTATCTATCTATCTATCTATCTATCTATCTATCTGTCTGTCTGTCTTTCTATCTATCTATCTATCTATCTATCTATCTATCTATCTATCTCTCTATCTATCTATCTATCTATCTATCTATCTCCCCAGATTGCAGGATCAGACCAAGGAATTCCCCGCCACCTCCAACATCTCCGCGAGCGCCATCTTGTCATGTGTGAGACTGTTGAGATCATGGACCGCAGCTTCAGTGTCATGATGGCTTTTGTCTACGGGTACGAACCCCTGCCATCCGGCTCAAACCTTTGGAACTCAGACACCTCCCGACTTCTTCAAGAGGGTGGAATTGGGGGGGGGGGGTAAATATCTTTTATATGGATTTTAAAGCACTACTCAAAGCCAAACAAAAATTTAAAGAACAGCATAGGTAATATTTGTCCATCCCTACCACTATCAAAATTGTTACCCTTGATTTTAGTGCTTTCATTCCGAGTCCAAAACCGGCCCCCACCCTTTAGCGGTTGGCTTTTCACTGTAACCGCCAGGAGTCAAAATCAGTGCACGACTTTGCCTCTTAAGCGACACAGATTAATTTAGTTTACCTAAACCCAGGATTGCGTCGACCAGGGAGGTCAGTCAGTGCTAACCCGTACAATACGGAATATTGCATCCCAGTTATAAAAGGCAATATTCATCAACTCTTTGAAGACGCATTCTGGTCATTCGACAACACTTGAAGTCGCACAAAAAACACAACATGGTTAACAGCACATATTTTATAGTTCTGTTTTCTTTATCTGAAACATCAGAAGACGACAACCACGTGCATATTATTGATTATGCATATTCTTGTTTCTGATGTTTGCATAGTAGCTTGAAATGTGCACAACATTGCCTTTGGTCTGCTGCTGATCGAACTATGATTATATCTCCGCTACCTCCTTTAAAAAAAAGTGTCGATATCTCAGGTATGTTAAATGCAGGGTGAAGAGCCCAACCATTACACTGCAGACTTCCATAGGTTGCAAGACTTTAATTTTAAAGCGCATAGAATATGCTGTAGAGCGTGAATATACGCTATAATCATGCTATTATCATTACCATCATTATTAGTTGTGTTGTTGTTTTGTTTGATTTTTTTTTGCTGTTTGAAAGTCAGTCCTCACTCTTTCGGGACCAGTTATTCAACTGGGTACGTCATGTAGTTTATTTTAGTGTCTGCCTCAAAATTGTTAGATTGTCTGTTCCACTTTAACTTCTTTGCAAGATACTGTGCATGTATTCACTTTGCTAGACATGGTTACTAGTTACTTGTTTTAGGCGGAACTACGTGACTAACAGATTGGCTAGACAAACTGTTTTGTTATATGTCCCCTGAGGGATACAGAAGCAAACTTAGAAATGCCAGGCAGGCCTTGGGAAGTCTTTTGAAGTCGTGTGAGAACCTTTGTTCAGAAAAGATAACCAACTCAAAACCATAATTTAAATTTTTGCTTGACTTGGTACTCAAATAAAACTGCGGCCTCAAACAGAAACGTTCAGCAGTGCTCGTAAACTACGCCTTTATCCTAACGTAATCCGCGTCAGATAAGGCCCATAACTTTTTTTTGTTTTCAACATTCTCATCCCTCTTCGTCATCGATTAAAAGCGCGTTATCTGCCTGCAAATATTGAAAACAGAGCAGTTATTTCGGCAAAGATATTCATTTTCTCAGCACTGGTCAAACTCCCACAAAAGACAACATATAGATTACGATAATCCGTACGTTGAACTGTTGTTGTTGTTTTTTTAAGACAATCACACGCTTGCCTTGCTACGGGAACTTCCAAAACAATGCGTTGCATTACAACGGCATCCTGTCATTTTCTCTTTGAGTCGTATTATGCGTCCTGCGCATGAGGTGAGTCTGTTATGACGGAACAAAGGTCCAACCGTGAAACAATCTTTGAAGGTGGGACGGGAAGGAGGGGGGGGGGGATTTTTAACGAGCTCTGTGTCACCTCAAAGACTTTTTACTGTGGAACCCATCATTCCTGGTCGTTTGTTCATTTAGTAGAAACACGTGCCACGGCGGAGGGTTTCTGGTGTTTGCGATTCGTGAAGACTTTGACCCGGGAGGATCCCATAGTTTGACGCCTGATTTACGTTTATCGGTCTGTCCAGCTACACTTTCACCAAGTTTGGGGAAATTTGGCCCAGATATGTTTTTAAAAGCTTAAGGGGTGTAATTCATGTTGTTTATTTTCAAGATAACGGCCGTTTCCATCGTAACCGTAGCTGGCAAGCATACACCAAAGGGTTTATGTAAAGATCTCACCCTATCTAAGTCTTAATATTATGCAGACAGATTTTATCTCCTCTTGTTTGTTTAGAAAATATGCCTCTGCCGTGAAGGCCCAGTTATGATTAAACGAAGGAAATATAGAGGGTACACACAAGACTCTTCTTCTCCGAGAAGTACACAAGTAATCTCGCCAGTTCGAAATAACTGAATTAATTTATTACTAAAGCTTCGAGAGCAATTATTAAAGCATAAATGTTTATTTTTAAGTCTTTCCTAAGCAGTTTGTCATTTTTATTTCGCTTATCTTCAGTTCATTGAGAATGATGTCAATTTGTTTGTTGTTTGTTGGTTGATTGGTTGGTTGGTTGGTTGGTTGGTTGGTTGGTTGGTTGGTTGGTTGGTTGGTTGGTTGGTTTTCCTGATTGGTGGGATGGGGAGGGGTGGTAGTTGGTAAGCAAGAGTGGAGGGCTCATTAATGTATTTGTAGAATGCTTTTTTGTCCAATAGAGTAGAAATTATATGAGAAACCTAATGAGTTTGTAAACAAGGTTGAAGATTACGTATAACAGGATCACGTTGTTTTTTTCTATATGGGATACAGCCAAAGATATTGTCAATAGCGCCTGTGGTGACATCTATAATATCTTGGAAAAGTATGAGTGTTGCTTCTTTTAGGTGAGGTGTATCTTGGAATCGTCTAGCATTGAGCAATGGGTTCTTTTTCTGTGTTTTGGGTTTTCTATAAAAATTTTGACCTATTTATCAGGTCGTCTTCATAATAATTTTACCCCATCCCTTTCAGAGCCGTATCTCCTTTTCTCTACTATTGTGTACCCCAACAGGGTGTCCATAAGCCTATGCTGCCTGTTACTGTACACCTTGATCAACATACAAATGGACCTTTCGGTGGTGTTCATCACAGCTTTCTGGCTGGTCGGTACAGCGTCCATATTGGCTGTCACCACATACTACATGGCAGAGGTTAATGTAGCAGTGAGTAGTAAGCAAGATCTTCGGAGGTTAGCCCTATATGGCGCCCCCATTTTTTGTTTTGTTTTGTTTTGTTTTTTTGGTTATGAGCATATCTGTCTGTTTAATGACAATAGTTGTTTTTTTACCACAGGAGATGATGATTATAATAATGATAGTTATATCAATAACACTTCTCTTACTGCTACTTCATCTCCTACTCCTACTCCTACTTGGTCTTCTACTACTACTACTACTACTACTACTACTACTACTACTACTACTACTACTACTACTACTACTACTACTACTACTACTAATACTAAGTATAATAATAATAACAGTAAAGTCAGGCAGGCTTTATTCGTATCACCAGTAGTTTTACCAAACGTTCCATCTCTCCCCTAGTACGACCCGTCACTGATCGACAGAATTGACGTGGAGGAACTCTTAGAGCAGGCCAAAGATTTGGAGGAGTCACTCAAGGACGCAGATGGGAGGATAACTACACTTACCAAGGTCAGATTTGGGGCAGGTGGCTGAGCCGGTTGATGACCAGGACAAAAAAGATAAATAAATTATTGCGAGTCCAATGTCTTTTCTCCCAGCTTTGTGTTGAGATAATTGTGTTCTTTGACGCTAATGAAAAAATCAGATATTACACAAAACAATCAAAATGATCTGGCAGCCAAAAATCCATCTGTTTGCTATTTCAATGTCTTGCTATTAATTATGCACAGTCCTCTTTCCTGGGCACAGCGAGACAGATTGTGTTATGTACTGTAATGCTTAAACTTTCAGATTTTAACTTGTGAGATGCTTTACCTGTTTTCTGTCTTGTCTACGTCGATTACTTCTTTGCCATACACTCTTCCCTTAGATTCAACTTGTCATTGTATGTATACAAATTAGACAGAATTAGAGCTTTGCTCATCATTGTGATCACATTTGTGTGTCGCCAAAGGGAGGCAACCTATTGTGGGGCGTCTCTCCGAAT